TCGCTTTTGTCATGTGCTCAAAGTCCAATCCCCTTGTTGTGTTTGCCCTTGATCTAATGTCCACATATGAGGGAGAACATATGATTTTTGGTCTTTTGGGACAGGCTAACCTCACTCAGAATGATGTTCTCCAATTCCATCCATAAAATGGACCTTATTTCTTGAGCAGGTGTGTGTTAAACACCTGTCTGGGATGGAGGCCCTGGAATGGGTGGAGGGGAGGTGAGGAGACAAGTAGCTTAGTCGTGCTTAGGAAGCACTCGGTACAGACTGAATGCATGAATGTGTGAATGCAAAGGAACCTAGCCCTGATGTTAAGTACAGCACTGATAGGCACAGCATTGTCCCATTGGCTGAGTAGATTGTCACAGCCACTTTATCTTCTGAGGTTTCAGCCTTGTGTTGGCCCTGTGGTCAGTAGATGGGCTCCTGGACTTGCCTGGTCATTTGCTAGTCTTTAGGGGCCAATGACCAGTGGTGGTCTGTGCATGGAGGCCCCCCCACTCCACCAGCCACACAAATGAACCAGGCCGGCACAGGCAGACCACAGCCCTGTGCCTGGCACTGTTCCTGGAAATGCAGAACAGGCTCCTTTATTTTTGTCTCCAGGCTCCTGGCCTGTGAGGAACACGGCCTGGCTGCAAAGCATTTTATAGGATTATAACTGTGGTGCTGAAGGCGAGTTCTGAAAGGAACTTTGTGCTGTTGGTTTGAGTGAAGCTGTCTGTTAGGGCCGTGTTGTTCCTAAGCCCATAAACATACACATGCACACACACACGTACACATACACACACACACACACACACACACACACACACACACAGGCAGAATGGGGAGCACCCAGCTCCTGGGGATGCTAGTCAGGCAACATTGCAGGGCTGGTCCAGCTTCCTTCAACTGTGACACTTCCCTGGGGGAAGAGGGCTGTTCTGGAACTGTCCTTAGGGCAACTTGCTTTCTGACAGGCTTTGTTTTTGTTTGTTTGGTTTTTGGCAGCACTGGCGTTTGAACTCAGGGCCTCATGCTTGCTAGGCAGGCACTCACTGCTTGCAGAGCCACTCCACCAGTCCTGTGACAGAATTCGAACGTGTACACCCCTGCTTAGAGTCCCAGGCAGATTGCCCAAAACCCAAATCACTTAATGATGGAGCATGCATTACACAGGAGAGAGGTTCTGAAGTCTGGGAACAAGGCGGAAATTGCATGTGGTCAAAAATAAATCCTTGAAAATTCTACTTCTTTTTTTTTGTTGTTGTACTGGAGTTTGAACTCACTGTCTCACTTGCTAAGCAGTTGCTTTACCGCTTGAGCCACACCCCCAGCCTCTTTGTGCTTTAGTTACTTTTCAGATAGGGTCTCCAGTTTTTTGCTTGGGACCAGTCTTAGATGGCAGTCCTCCTACCTATGTCTCCCTCCCACCTGGGATTACAGGTATGCCCCACCATTTCTAGTGTGTTTGTTGAGATTGGGTCTTGGTAATTTTTATCCCCTGGCTGGCCTCGAATATCAATCTTCTGATCTCTGCCTCCACAGTAGCAGGGATTACAAGCACACATACCACCATGCCTGGCCTTGATTTTTTTTTTAATGTCCGAAGGACCACAAATATAGCTTATATGTACCCAAAATTACCGACTTGAGTTTACGAGCTTTATTGTACCAAAAATATATGTCTTTAAACACCAAAACCCCTTGGGGGCAGTGAGATATTTGGAAGAATCAGACCACCCAAGGGGACTCCAGATTCTCATCTTCCCTTTACACTCATTTTGGAGCTTATGCCTTTTTGCAGGCTATTTAAATAGTTTCAGGCCATTAGCAAACTCTGCCCCATGTGTGTATGTGTCTGTTTCTCTCTGCCAGTGTGCACAGTGGAAAAGTCATGTGTTATGTCATCAAACATATTCTTTGATTTCTATGGTTCTAATATCATTTAAAGACACAAAGTTTTAAGAGAAAATATATATGATAGTCTTATCACTCAATATGGCTCTTTTGCTCTATAATAATTATACTTAAACCTGAGGTTATTGCCCCCATTTTGTAGGGTTTATTTATTGTCACACTATATTTATGGTATGTCACACTCCCTGATTGGCCCTAAGGATACTGCAATGACCCACCAGTTAGAGGGTGGTGGGAATTTGCCTGGGGGGGACTCTTTCCTTCCTCAGATGCTCTAAGTACATTTTCCACCTGGAGAACAAAAGCCCAGTGAGCTTCACTAGGGATCAAAACCTATCCCCAAAAAGACTTTCCTTGGCCTGAGTCTGCTAGTTGAGATGGCAGGTCTGGAAGGGCAGAAAGGAAGACAAGGATGGGGTCTGCGATGCTGGGCTCAGAGTGAGGCCATCACTGCCTCTGCTTGGGAGCCCTTGAAGATGGGGTTCCCTTGTCTCCTCCACACAGGGCCAATCCCCCACAGCTCCTGCTGAAAGGATTAAGCTGTGTTCAGGAATATCTAGGAAAACTAGTTCTGGAATGTTCTTTCCCACTGCTGCCTCTGCCTCAGCCACTCTCTTCCCTGGGTGCTTCAGGTTGTCTACTGAGGGGGAACCACAGGCCCTCTCTTCAATCTCAGTGAGGAGCTGTTCATTCCAGAGCCCTCTTTACATGTGTGGCACTGGTGACCCAGCTTCTCCCAGAGGCAGGAAGGTGGGTGGATTCAGTGCCGGGATGTAGGTTTGACACCTGGGACAAAAGAGGGGTGTGTGTGTGTGTGTGTGTGTGTGGTGTGTGTGTGTGTGTGGTGTGTGTGTGTGGTGTGTGTGTGTGTGTGGTGTGTGTGTGGTGTGTGGTGTGTGGTGTGTGGTGTGTGTGTGTGGTGTGTGTGTGTGTGTGTGTGTGGTGTGTGTGTGGTGTGTGTGTGTGTGTGTGTGGTGTGTGTGTGTGTGTGGTGTGTGGTGTGTGTGTGTGTGTGTGGTGTGTGTGTGTGTGTGTGGTGTGTGTGTGGTGTGTGTGTGTGTGTGTGTGTGTGTGTGTGTGTGTGTGGTGTGTGGTGTGTGTGTGTGTGTGTGTGTGTGTGTGTGTGTGGTGTGTGTGGTGTGGTGTGTGTGTGTGTGTGGTGTGTGGTGTGTGTGTGTGGTGTGTGTGTGTGTGTGTGTGTGTGTGTGTGTGTGTGTGTGTGTAAAGGGGTTTCCTGCCTGAAAAGTTAAGCCACTGGTCTCTCAGCTCAGCTGGAAGCAGAGAGGAGTGAAACGCACTAAATGTCTCCATTCCCACTACCTCCCCACACCCAAGAAGGAAAAATAAGAGTCAGTGTCTCCCCAGACCAACCCCTGATGTAACTGTGACTTTCACATGAGGGAGGGAGGAGTCAGCAGTGCAGCCTACAGAATAGTTTTGGAAATAATGATGATTTTAATATTTTTGAAAATTAATTTCTAATTGCCCAAGGGATGCATGAATGTATTTTTCTTGTAAGAAATTTAAAAACATTCGCTATAAGTTTAAAGTCCCCCAGCTTTAATTCTGTCATTCCAGATGCCTCTCCTTGGCCAGAAGGGAGTGGGTAAAAGTTTGCTGTGGATTCTTCTTATTTACTTACAAGTATGTCTTTATAAAAAAGATGGGCTGGCAGAGTGGCTCAAGTGGTAGAGTGCCTGCCTACCAAGTGTGAGGTCCTGAGTTCAAACCCCAGCACCGCTGGGAAAAAAATAAGATGGTATTCTTTGGTCGATGTATTTTTAACATAAGTGGTTATCATACTACGCTTTTTCTGTATTAACTTTTTTTTTTCTTTTTCTTTTTTGGCTGTGCTGGGGGTTGAACTCAGGGCCTTGAGTTGCTAGTTAAGCACTCTACCACTTGAGCCACCCCAGCTCTCTTTGCTGTTAGTTGGGTTTTCTGATAGGGTCTGGAGTTTTTACCGGGGCTGGAGTGATCCTCTATGCCTCTTGCCTAACGAGGTGTGCGCCACCATGCTTAGCTTGGAGGTTATGACTTTGCCCTGGTTTCAGACATCTGCCTCCCAGGTAGCTAAGATTACCGCAGTGCACTACCGTGCCCAGCCTCTTTGTTGTTGTGCCTCCCTTCTCCGTTTTGGTGCTGGGAATCAAGCCCTAACTAACATGGCCTACTACTACAGTTATTTTTTAAACAGAGCCCAATACATGTCCATAGACCCCCATTCCACTTTTGACTGTTGCTGAGTGGTTTGAGGGAAGTTTATTTAAGCACACCCTACTGATGGGTTACTACCATTGTTTCCAGCCTTTTTTTTTTTTTTAAACTACCCCAGACAGGGTTGCTGCAAACATCCTCATAATTGCATTTACAATGTCAGGTTCCTCCAGAACGGATCTCAAAAGGCGCAATAGGGTAAGGGGTGATGGCTGCACAGCTAGCCTGGAAACAGACCCTGTCCGATTGCCCTTCTTAACCTCCCTCTCCTCCTCCAGAGTGGGTTCAGGGAGAGGACTAGAGTAGACTCTATGGGGGTGGTGGAAATGTTTTGTGTGTGTGACTGTCACACACAGGATGCTCACAGGATGCTCACATTTGCCGGAACTCAGCGAAGTGCACACTTAAGACGGTTGCGTTTCACTGTTCACTCCAGTAAGTTCAATTTTTTAAAAAATGCAGATTACCTGGCCTGGGAATAAGGCAAGACAGAATTCTGTGTCTGTATTTTTATTGTGGGCTTTTGAATTACTCGCTTTCCCCCGATCCGGTTCCTTCCTTTCACCTGAGTTTGCCCGGACCTCCTCTGTACCCGCCGCCCGACTTCGCCCCAGCATCCTTTCTACCCAGAGAGGACGAGGGAGCGCAAGTGGAGCTAAGGCCAGCTCCAGGGGACGGCGCGGAGGTCGAGTCCCCCAGGGCTCAGCAGCAGGGGGCGGTCCCTGTCCGTGGCGGGAACACCCCTCACCGCCCTGGGGGCGTGGCCTTCCCTCCCCCGCCACTCACTGCTCAGGGGCGTGGCCCACCAGTCCCGTCCCCCCCTCCACCGCCCAGGGGGCGTGGTCTTCCCGCTCCGCTCTGCTGCAGCGCCCGCTTCGGCTCCGCGGGGGCTAGAAGCCGGCTGTCCCTGCTCTGTGTCGCTTCCTCCCGCCGCCGTGGAGCTGGGGTCCCCTTTCGCCTGGGAGTTTTGTAGTCGCCTTGGATCAGCGGTGACATCCCAAAGAGCAGGCCCGGCAGCCGCCATGGTGGCCAAGGATTACCCCTTCTACCTCACGGTCAAGAGGGCCAACTGCAGCCTGGAGGTGTCCCCGGGCAGCGGCGCGGCCAAGGACGCCGAGGTAGGGCGCGCTATCCACCTGGCCCCCTCTGGATGTCTCCGCGGGGCGCTCTCTCTCCATCGCTCGCTTTCCTGGAGCCCTGGCACTGGTTGGCTGTCCTCGCTCACACTCTGTGTGCCTGTCGCTTTCTCTCTGTCTCTTACAAGCTCTGCTTCCCCCATCGTCATCCCTCACCCTGTCTGTCTCCCCTCTCCTCTGTGGGTCAAGCATGAACTGCTTGACTGCTCTCTCTCTGTCCTTGTCTTTCTGTCCCTGCTGGCCCGGGAGCGGCTCCTCCTTGTCACTGCCTCTCCTGCCCAAGCAAGTTCAGTGGCTCGCAGAACGTGGACCCCCCGTCTAGACCCAGAAGCACCAACAGCCACCCTTTAAGCGAGTGTTTCTTCTTGCCCCGGATTGGAAGGGCAGAAGGAGGTTCTTGGGGACTCATCCAGACATCTCACCTGCCAGACTTGGCCTTGCAGCTATTTGGCAGCAAAGACAGGGCAGGGCACTTATTATATTTGTCACCTGTGGCCAGTGGGCGGGGTGGGGGGGTAATTTAGCTGTAGGCCTGGAGCTAAGTGAGTCATGCAAGTGTCTTCCATATGGAGCCTGAAAATGAATTAAACTCCTGCAGTCAATGGGAAGCTGTCTGAGAACATTGGAAGCTTCCATTCCCCGTCTTCCCCCAACTTTCCTGTGCCTTGAGCCTAAAGTGGGGGAGTCCTCCCAGCTTGTTTAGCTGGCCTTTTCCTCCTGGGTGTTATTTCCCAGGCAAATAGCTCACTGGCCTTTAAGGCTGGTTGGGTACAGCTGGAGGAGAAAGCAGTCTTACCTTCTTTAAGGGTTCTAGGGAAAACAATTGCTTGCATTAGACCACAGCTTTGCCGTAGCCAAACTGTGGTGGGACCCACAGGACCCAGCTCATCATCGCTGCTCAGATGTGTATGGGAGATCTCCACTCTCCCCCCCAATACCCCCAACTGAGAACATCACCACAGGGAATGGAGGGGTTCTGGAAGCAACTGTGCATCTGGCTTTGTCACAGCATTCTTGGGGTTCTCCCCACTGTGCCACCCTTGGGTCTGCCTATTGTGTGCACTTGGCTTATGAATTATGTATACTTAAGAGGATGGCATCAAACATTCATTGCTTCTAACAAGACCTGCCCCAAGCTGACAGGACAGTCACTGGTTGTATTCAGCTTTCTGTAAGCTGAACACAGCCTAACTTCTCTCCTCTACCCCTACTCTACACCCCAGTTCAGCTGAATATTTTCACAAAGAGTTTTTGTTCCCACCAGCTATGGAAGTGTGATAGCGCTAGCATTTGAATTCATATTTAAGTTTTGACTGCATGGTACCTGCATAGAATTCAGGTTGCTCAGGCTTGGGATTGAATGGTTTTTCAATGGAAACTTCATACTTTAATGAATGGAGGAGTGATGATCCCTCAAACTTCTCTTGGAAGGAAGAAAAGCATAGCCAATTTAGTTAATAAATTGAAGTGGGCTAAAGAAAAGAATAATGAGAATAGCTCTGGGTTCTAGCTTTTTTTACTCTTCCTTAGTCCTGTGTTTTTGAGCAGTTTAGCTAAGGTCTTAAGAGAACTTACAAGTTTAATCTTTCCTTATGTACAGAAGATACCCCAAATGAGCTGAAACATGTCACATGTCAAATACTAATTTATTCATTAGTAGCTAGATCTGGATGGTAAAATATGATTTCTTTTCCTTCTGTGAGGATGTCCTGGAGTGAGAGTAGGATGGGGTGGGATGAATAATTTTTGGAAATAGTTGATAAATATTTTTCAGGTATTCCCACTTAGGTTTTTTAGTCATGGTAAAAATGTTTTCTACACTTTGAGGCACAGATGTCTCTTAGCTTCATTCACCTGGCATAACTCATTTCCTAACAGTGGAGATAAGCAAAGTTGGAAAAAGAAACCTAAGTGGGTTTCAGGGGGAAGTTTTCTGGTTTCCTTGTCAGCACAAAAGGCAGCCAAACCTTTGCAGGCCTGGCTTTTTGGTACCCGGTTAACTAAAATATATTTTCCACCAGTAGGTGTCATCAGTATTTATAAATGTTTAAAAAACAGCATTCACTGTCTGCCTTTTGAAAAACATGATTATATAATCATTCATAGACACTATTAATTCCTCTGAAAGTATATTTTAAAGATTGATCATTGTCAATGAGAAAGAATAACAATAAAAAAGAAAAACAGCTTTATCCAAAGGCCTTTCCAGGATAATAGGACTTGTTGACCTTCAAAAGCACTTGGAGCAGAGCACCTGTGCTAGTAGATTTGCAATGGCTGTTCCTTCTGAGTGTTCTGTAGGAACGGCAGTGATGCAAGTGCTTTCTAGAAGTGGTCCCCACCAAGTGTGTTGGGATAAGCCCCCTGTGAAAGGCCCATGGGGAGCAGGTATTGATATGCATTTGATACCATACCCTTATAAAGAATATACCAAAAAAATTAAAAATTCCCTTGAAAGCAAGTAATAAAATTTGTATTCAAGATTTAATTTAAATGCTTTCTATTTTTTAATTTCAGTGGTAGTTCCAAGTGAAAGCAAAAAAAAATTTTTTTAATTTTTATATTTTCTTTAAAGGATCTATTTTAAACTTTTAGAAATATTTGCATGGAATATATTGCATGTGTGATATCTCTGGATTTCCACAGAGAAGCATGGTATCCTGTAAGCACTGTTAAGTCTGTTTCTTCTGATGGTTAATGCAGCTTTGGTCAATCTATCTGTTTTCATATTCATTGGCTGCTCATTTCCCATGCCAGCAGGGATTGCTTATCTAGTTATGTTAGGTGCTGTGAACACCTGATCAGTTCACTAGAAGGAAAATTGTTCATTGTAATGAATTACGCTGGTTGTAAATAGTCACTATTTCCGCCATGGTCAGGTTTGCATTTAGAAAACAAGGCTCAGGTGAGTGGACACCTGGGCTCAGGAAGCTAGATCCTGAGGAGAAGCTTTTAAGAGTTTTCATGAAGATCCAGAGAGGCATTTCTGTCATGTCTAAGAACATACAAAACAACTTGGTGGCCAACTCAGTTTTGACTTTAACAGTCACCATCTTGGATGTTGCTTAGGATCAGGCCTGATTTGGTTGTTGGTATTTGTACCCATTGCCTTTGTCTCTAGGTGGTAAAATTTTGCAGCAAGTAGACCATATGTCTACCTCATGAATAGTTTAGTATTGCCCGGGGTCTCAAAGGTATAGGTTTTGCTTCTGACTCAGTAACCTTGCATGGCCCTGGGAATACACCATGCATCTAGAAATAACAGAGTTCTATCTCTTTTCTAAATCTTCCATTGTGATATTCCCATGTAAATATCACAGTGAAACCCCTTTGTACAATTAATTTATGTTAATAAGATATTGGGGGGCTGGAGGCATGCTTAGTGCCAGAGTTCCTGCCTGGCAAGCATAATACTCTGAATTGAAACCCCAGTACCACCAAAAACAAAAGTTAGGGACTGGGGAGCATGACTTAAGTGGTAGAATGCTTACCTGGCAGGTACAAGGCCCTGAGTACTGCCAAAATAAATAAATAAATTTTTAAATAAACGTTTTAATTAAAAAGCAATGTACTATGTCTAGTGTCTCATTCGAGATCACAGCCATGTTGGAGGATAACATATAAAGAATGCATTATTCTCTCCACTTTATGAATAAGGACACTGAAGGGAGGTAACTTGTAAGAAATACACAAAAGAAAATCAACTTGAGCCAAGATCCAATGCCAGATTTCCTGATGGATTTAATCCAGCTTTCAATACCGATGGCCCTTTTAGCATCTAAGGGTATTTACCGCTCTGGGAAAAAAAGGAAGGAAAACACACAGCTTACCAGACATATAAAATGCTTTCAAATATTCTTTTAAATATATAATCTTGAACACCTAACTGAGAAGGTGTCTTTGAAGCCTCAGCTACAGGGCAAGGTGAACACCATGTTCCTGTCATGATTTATGCCTCACCAGTCAACACGTGTATTTGAGAACTGTATATACCTGGGGCTGTATGCCTGGAATGCCAGCTTCCAGTAATTTATACTTTTCTTGGAATCTGCATCATATGGTACTAACTGTGAGTATCTATGACCAACTATGTGAAAACAGTTATAGGAGTTATTGCAGTTAAAAATCCTAGGATTCTTTCAGATGACTAAATCAGTAGGCCCCATGAATCATGTAACCTTAGAGATCTTGCTGCATGGAGAGATATACAGAGCTACCCAGGGAAAGGCCATCCCTTGCTGATCTGATTATGGTTATTGAGCCATCATTCTGAGGCTTGTTCAATTGGAAAAATATATTGGTGATTTGTGGACCTCCAAGATACACATAAACTAGGATCAGGTTTATTAGAGGAAAACATGTTGACTTTACACATGTTGACTTTAAAACTATTTAGAACATCAACTCTAAAATAAGACTACCTGGGTCCCAAAGCCATCTCTACTACCTGCTAGTGGTGTGACCTTGGACAAACCACTGTGGCTCTCTAAGCCTCAGTTTCCTAAATGGTGAAATGGAGATAGTGAAGCATAGTAAGGGTCACATGAGACAATTCATGTACAATATTTAGCCTAGTGCCTGGCACACAATAAGTGCTCAATAAATATTATCATCAAGACCTCTGCTTCTTAAAAATTATCCATAAAACACTTTTCAGAAACATCTGAATCACCATCCTGACTTCCTGAATGCTGTATTACACTTAACAGTGCATTGGAGACATATGTGTAAGTGCCTTACTTTAACCATGATCACAACAATCCTGTGAGGTAGGTAGTATGGTCCTCTTTTTTTTTTTGGAAGAAGAAACTGAGGTTCCAAGTAGGGTAGTGGTTTCCCAGGATGGTTGAGCTACTGGTTGGAGGCCAAGACTCACACCCCAGTCTGACCCCAAAGTCTATACTTTTTCAACCACATCACATTGCCTTTGAATGACTAAATCACTGGTCTCCTTACCACATAACATTCTAAGGATGAACCAG